TTTGACCGGGGACGCGTAGTGTTTTTGAAAAAAAAAAGTGTTTTTGAAAAAAAAAGTGTTTTTTTAAAAAATCACTAAGTTATAAAATAGTTTAATATATAATATTTACATATTCTGTATTCTTTTAATGAGCTAAATATGAATCCGTTTTGAATTTTTTAAAAAAACTGTATTTTGACCTGGGACGCGTAGGGATGCGTAGTTTAGCCAAAAAAAATTTTTCGAAAAAATTTCTTTTTAAATTTTTTTTTTATTAATACCATTTTCTGAATCTCCTTAAAAAGCTAAACATGAATCTGCTTTTATTTTTTAAAAAAAACGGTTTTTTGACCGGGGACGCGTAGTGTTTTTGAAAAAAAAAGTGTTTTTTGAAAAAATCACTAAGTTATAAAATAGTTTAAAATAAAATATTTACATATTCTGTATTCTTTTAATGAGCTAAATATGAATCCGTTTTGATTTTTTTAAAAAAAGTGTATTTTGACCGGGGACGCGTAGGGACGCGTAGTTTAGCCAAAAAAAAATTTTTTTGGGAAAAATTTCATTTTAAATTTTTTTTTTATTAATACCATTTTCTGAATCTCCTTAAAAAGCTAAACATGAATCTGCTTTTATTTTTAAAAAAAAACGGTTTTTTGACCGGGGACGCGTAGTGTTTTTGAAAAAAAAAGTGTTTTTTGAAAAAATCACTAAGTTATAAAATAGTTTAAAATAAAATATTTACATATTCTGTATTCTTTTAATGAGCTAAATATGAATCCGTTTTGAATTTTTTAAAAAAACTGTATTTTGACCGGGGACGCGTAGGGATGCGTAGTTTAGCCAAAAAAATTTTTTGGAAAAAATTTCTTTTTAAATTTTTTTTTTATTAATACCATTTTCTGAATCTCCTTAAAAAGCTAAACATGAATCTGCTTTTATTTTTTAAAAAAAACGGTTTTTTGACCGGGGACGCGTAGTGTTTTTGAAAAAAAAAGTGTTTTTTGAAAAAATCACTAAGTTATAAAATAGTTTAATATATAATATTTACATATTCTGTATTCTTTTAATGAGCTAAATATGAATCCGTTTTGATTTTTTAAAAAAACTGTATTTTGACCGGGGACGCGTAGGGACGCGTAGTTTAGCCAAAAAAAAATTTTTTTTGGAAAAAATTCTGAATCTCCTTAAAAACTAAACATGAATCTGCTTTTATTTTTTAAAAAAAACGGTTTTTTGACCGGGGACGCGTAGTGTTTTTGAAAAAAAAAGTGTTTTTTGAAAAAATCACTAAGTTATAAAATAGTTTAAAATAAAATATTTACATATTCTGTATTCTTTTAATGAGCTAAATATGAATCCGTTTTGATTTTTTTAAAAAAAGTGTATTTTGACCGGGGACGCGTAGGGACGCGTAGTTTAGCCAAAAAAAAATTTTTTGGGGAAAAATTTCTTTTTAAATTTTTTTTTTATTAATACCATTTTCTGAATCTCCTTAAAAAGCTAAACATGAATCTGCTTTTATTTTTAAAAAAAAACGGTTTTTTGACCGAGGACGCGTAGTGTTTTTGAAAAAAAAAGTGTTTTTTGAAAAAATCACTAAGTTATAAAATAGTTTAATATATAATATTTACATATTCTGTATTCTTTTAATGAGCTAAATATGAATCCGTTTTGATTTTTTTAAAAAAACTGTATTTTGACCGGGGACGCGTAGGGACGCGTAGTTTAGCCAAAAAAAAATTTTTTTGGAAAAAATTTCTTTTTAAATTTTTTTTTTATTAATACCATTTTCTGATTCTCCTTAAAAAGCTAAACATGAATCTGCTTTTATTTTTTAAAAAAAACGGTTTTTTGACCGGGGACGCGTAGTGTTTTTGAAAAAAAAAGTATTTTTTGAAAAAATCACTAAGTTATAAAATAGTTTAAAATATAATATTTACATATTCTGTATTCTTTTAATAAGCTAAATATGAATCCGTTTTGATTTTTTAAAAAAAACTGTATTTTGACCGGGGACGCGTAGGGACGTGTAGTTTATTTTTTAAAAAAATAAATTTTTGTAAATTTTATATAGTTACCGTATTTTTTTTAAATTAAAAAAAACATTTTCTAACTCATCTTATAAAGCTTAATAAGATTTCCTATTAATATTAATATAAATCGTTTTGACCGGGGACGCGTAGGGACGCGTTGGGACGCGTAGTTTTTGGGGACGCGTATTTTAGTCATTCCCCAAATTAATGTATATAAAAAAATGTTAATATTTCACCGATTAAATTTAAATACAAATTGATATATAAAAAAATATATCAATTGCCAAAATAAATAATAAAATAACATCGATCAACATATTCAACACATATCCCATTCAATAATCGATTAGTTAATTTTATGTTCATTTAACTGTTTCTCATATCTAATATTTTTTCAATAAAATTTCATATATATTCTTTACTTATAATAAATATGAATTAATATTGATTGCTTGAAATGATCTGTAAAAATGAGTTGTAATAAAATATGGATACTAAAATTAGCATAAATTTTGTCAATAATTTTATTTACACGATAAAATTGAAATTATTTTTCATGAAAATATTTATTAGTAAGAAATTTAAATTATTCCTATTCATTGCGCAATCCCAAGAATAATCCATAACTAATTCTTTATTAAATCGAGAAATTCATTTAACCTAAGAATCCCTTATTTTATAACTACAGCCACCCCCCCCCCCTTAGAATTTCAAATCTTCTTTCTTTTCCAACTCTATTCCTCTATACTGGGATCCATAAAATAATTTCAATGACAATTTCCAAACCTAAAAAATCTATTGGACCAAGTTACAAGAAATAAAATTTATCCTAAGAATAAACACAAAAACTCATTTCATTGAATATGAGTATCAAATCGAAGGCGACATTTTCTAATCATTGGTAATTTATGATTGTGGTTGATTCTATAAATAATACTTAATAAGAGAAGACATAAAGATTTCTAAAAACGGGTAATAGGAAAAAAAACCCGGAAAAAAACCCCGGAAAAAATACCCTGGAAGAAAAACCCCCAAGAAAAAAACCCCCAGAAAAAAACCCCGTGGAAAAAAATTTAAAAAAAAGAAAATCGTAATTTTTAAAAAAAAATTTCTTGTCAATTTTTCTTAAATTTTTTTCTCAATTTATTATTTTCTTCCAATTTTTGCTTCAAGTCATTGTTAATCTTTATTTTTAACCTTTTCTCAATTTTTTTATTCTCAATTTTCACTTAATTTTTTTTTATTATAACCTAGCAATAATTAATATTAATAAATAATTTTATAAGCGAATGCCACAATCATTAACAGCTAGTAGACTCAAAAAAAACACAAAAATTTACGAAAAAATATTTGAAGTAATAATGTCTAAATGTCAAGAACGGGATTTATTTCCTGATCCATTATATATATACATAAATTTCGAAAAGTCTGCTATGAGCGCGGTTAAAACTGTCATTGGTATGATTTAATATGTTATATTATTTATATTTATTTTTTCAATTAGGATATCACATCATAATCAGATGATGCTTTTATCATTTGTGTCAAATTACCCATAGAAAAATTTAAAAGCTAGTTCTGGAAAGCCAATACAGAATCGATGAAGCCCTAAGCTTCTTTTGTGGAATGGTGGACAGCTTAGCATTTGTTCCTTTATGTGATATGGGCAATGCAATGGTATTCCTTAGATCGGTTACTCCGAGCAATTGTAAGGATATTCTTGAATATTTCGATAAAAATTACATCAATGGAGTATCAAGGGAGGTCACAAGAAGCAATTCTCAATCCCAGACAGGTCGAATTTGGCCTCGATTTCTTCCAGAAACTTGAATCAGACTATATCCTACTAATAACTCATAAATAATCAATGCGAAGGTTCGAATCATCGTTTTTCTAACTGGTTTAAAATAAAAACTTATCAATCTGGGTATTGATTAAAAAAAATGAAATGCGAGATGGCTGCCGGTGAAACCAAACTTGAACGATGGCGTGGTAGGTAGTTGGACACTGAAAACAAAATCGCAGTGCTTAAACAAGAAAAAATGCCTGCTGATATTCAAATTGGTACTGGGGAAAAAAATACCCCAGGAAAATAACCCATGTATTACTTATTTTCGTAAAAATTTTTGCTTAATAAATATAATATCCATCCTTAATTACTATATTAAGTAGACTAAATTTGACAATATTTGCAATATAATCTGTTTATTTTATTGATAAATCATTATTATGTATAAAATTTATTATTAAATTATATTTTTATAATATTTTTTTCTAAAATACTAATTTGTCTATACCTTATATAAATCCATAAAAATATACCTTTATTATTAGATCTAAATTCGAAAAAAAATTTCCTGGGTTTTTTTTTCTGGGATTCCTAAAAACAATAACAATTTGTCATTAAAATAAAGAATAGTATTATCATGCGAGCCAAATGAATTATGGGAATAGTATTCGATTTTATGAGAACATAGGCTTAGCTGGGAGGGAGGAATCCCCACTCAGAAATTTAATTTTCCTGTTCTCGTAAATATCATTCTAAGCATATCATATTTTTATAGTCAAAGAAATCATTGTTTTTAAGCTTATGCCCAAAACAATTTTTTTTGGAGAGATCTAATTGAACACAACCGCAGAAAGTGGAGCGAATTGTGTAAATAGTTATTGGATGTGACAAATATAGATTTGGATTGTCTAAAAAAGGAAGGCTTGAATTAAAATGGGAATATGTGATAGAAAGTGAGATTAACATGATTGACAGGTATAAATACCGAAATAGAAATGTGTTTAAGACTTTGGAAAAGCTGAAGACGACCAGGTTAGGTCATCCTAAAAATAACACGAATAAAACTATTTTTTTTTAAATCAACTAACAATTATGATTTAGAAAATTTTTGATACGAAAATTTGATAAAGAAAATTTTAAAAAAAAAATAATGAATAATCAGAGAGTAAATAGTTCTAATTATAAAATGAGACTAGAACGTTTAAATTTTATTATGTTTGTAATAAATAGAACTCACATAAAACACGCTTACATTTACATCTATTTCATTTTTTACAAAAAAAAAGATTTCGTATGATAAAATTCAATGTATTTGCGATTGATAATCCGAATATTTTAAACGAGAAGAACTGCATTTATACAACCATCATTTTCTGGAACATTCGTGACTTGAGCATATTTTCCTATATTTTAATTTTTTAAAAAAATGATGTAAAATATTATTTATAATTCACATACTTTCTAACATATTATCGGTAAGAATCTCCTAATTTATTAAAGAAAATATAGTATAACTCGTTTATATAATATTTTTAGATTCCTAGAAAATTTAAAATGTCTCTCAAGTTTATTATCTTCTTGGTTTACGTTTTTAACCCCTTGAAAAATGTTACAAGTGGATTATACTGTGCTCACCCTCGACATCAATCTCAACGAAATTTGCCGTTACAACAGCTGATTCGTTTAAATTTCTATTCGTTTTTTTTATAATCAAATGCTAGGTTTGGAGGGCTTTTAATTAAAAATTAAAATAAATTTCATTCTAAATACTAACCTACATCTCTCAAACCTTTAGATATTTCCTAACCCATAACTCTCTAACCTGTTATCCCACACCTAAGTTCAAGTTAATTCATTTCAAATATATTCCACCTAATTAAAAAATCTCCAGTTGAACATTTCTTGAATCGAGTAATTATCACGTGAATAATATGGCTTACAAATTCAGTAAAAGCTTTTAACGTTTTTTTTTAAATAAAACGCCTAGTTACTGTTGGTGTGATATACATTTAATAATAAAGTAATATAAAACATACTAATATGGACGATTTCATATAAAATAATACAGCAAAACAAAATGGCTTAAATTTGTAAGGGCTAATATAATGGGAGATAGAAACAATCTGTCTTAGAGGGCAAGAATATTTTAGAGGGATAGAAGGTATATCCTTGCAGTAAGCAGTGAGACTAAAAAATAAATTTAAAAAATTAAATTACCCCAGACTATTTTTCCTCCAGGTGTAACGAGTCCTAGTTCACTCACGTTTACCTCAATAACAGTTCCTTTAACAAAATATTATAATATAATTTTTGGAAGAAAAAAATAATAGAAGGAATAGTATGCAACATATTAGATACATTTATTCAAATAAAAAAATATTTACACTAACTTTTTTTTATTAATATATTTATCGAAATTTGTGTGCTGTTAAAATAATTAGACATGTAAATATTTTGTCCGATCATTTATATTAAAAATGATGGGTTATATAAAATATTTATAAAAGTAACTTGTAATGTAATATTTACTTTTCAAAAGTAACTTTTAACTTAGCTACAAAACAAAATGAGACGAGATACAAATTTTATCAAATAACATTGGAGTGGGAAAAACAAAGATCCAACGTCTAAATTCTAAGCAAGAAATTTATGTAAAAAAAACCTTTTGTGATGACCCCAAGTGATGTATAAAGGGCGGAATTTGGGTTCTTTTTAACTCCGATGATGGGTAGCTGAAAAGTGGCTTTTAACTCTGGATGTGTCACATGAGCTTTGTTAAATCTTAAACCCTATATTAATGATAGATTTTAAAAATATAAATGTATTTCAAATTAGTTTGATAAAACAAACTATTCATTAAGTTAATAATCAAATATTAATCCTGGAATATTTTAAATTATATTGATTAGGGAGCACGATACCTGAATTTGGCAGACTTATTTAATTAAGAAAAGTGAAAAGGGAATCAGTATATTAGTAATTTATATTAAAATATTTTATCATTGCAGTTATAATTTACCATTGGCCTTATGAAGCGTTCAAACTTTGGTGGTTTTCTTGTAAAATTTTCGCCAACATAACATACTTTAGTAACCATTCTTTTCCAAGCTTTTTCTAAAAAAAATTTTAAAAAAAATTTATCAAAAATCAACTCTTTATAAATAGATTAAACAAAAAATATTATTATAATAATAATAAATTATATATTTGATTTATTTTTTTTCTAATATATCAGGCTAATACTTTTTGATTTCCCAGTTCGGATAACTTTAAATACTTCTTTTTCTGAAATTCCTTTGACTTTGGGTATATGCACATCCCATTTACCCTACATATTTTAGTAATTAATAAATTTATCTCTTAAAAAAATATTCAAAAAATCATACCGCTTTTTCTTTCCTTTTTTGTTTTATCATATTTGATAATACTTTAGATGAGTTTTGATTAAAAGCTTCTCTATCCAGAAGATATGGTGGAACAGCTCCTTTAGGTGTCTTTTGTTCATTCTTGGATTTATTATTGGTCTGTTTCAATTGATGTGATTTAATTGTTTTTTGCAAGGCAATTTTTTCAGCGTGAAGTTTTTTGTTGTAAAATTTAGCTCTTAAACCCTTTAATTTTTTAGCTTTTAATGAGCGTTTGTGACCTTCTCTGGATTCTTTTTTCCTCTTTCTTTCTTCATAATCAAATCTACGACCATGTTCTTTTCGAAACCGTTCTATATATTCGTTTTGTGGCTAAATATATATTATATAAAAAGTTATTCATTTTAAAACAATTTTATTATAATAATGAAAACTAATCTGTGCCTTAGTTTCAATTAAATATTTAAAAAACTAAATCACAGGTACCTATATTGCCTGGAAAAACAAGCATACCCCCCTTCTCCTTAAAAGAATACATTTAAGATTCTTTTAATTTCATAGCTGAAATTTTGTTTTAATAATGGTATCAATGCAGTTAGTGTTAAATGACTCAATTTGTGCCGATTCTTGAAATGTCTAACTTAATATTTTCGCCAAAAAAATATTACCTAAACCTTGGGATTTTGCTAATAGGCGTCCAAATCTTTTTGCCATCTATGAGCAAAATATTAAGATTTTCTAATATTTTTAGGATAAAATACTGAATTAACTATTTTTTAAAAATCAGCTCAAATCAAGCCATTTAACAACACTATGCATCTTAACAATTATATAAGCTTCATCTAGCTAATATGGTAAAATCATCACAATAAGTTTTATTTTAAATAGTTTTTTGATAAACTTATCAAAAAAATATTCATGACCCATTACCCTTTCCCCTTCCCTCCCAAAAAGTCTATGGGCCATTATGCTAACCAATGAGCAGCTTATTAACAGTCTATATAGTATTTAATGACCTGATTTTAATGTCATAGATTGAAAAATTTAATGGGAAATAGAATTTATAAAAATTAACTTTGGATAAGTTAGAATTTATTATTTGATTTAATCATATTTGTTGTGAATCTCTATAATAAAGGTCTATAAGTTTTAAATATCTAATTAAAAATTGCAAAGATATTGTAAAATTAAAATCAAAATATTGAATCAATTTTAAGAATTTGAATGGATCAAGTACTATCTAAGGTTTAAATATTTTGAATACATTTAGTAAGCATCAATGGTATACTTCCAAAAAAATCAGGTAACATATCATTATAGCAATAAAATTTTGTGTTGTCAAATTTATTTTGCCATATTACCACAAAAGCCTTGCCATCTTATCAAGGGTCATTAGTAAATAGTAAAAACCACAACTTTTAATAACACCTTAATAGCACCTATACTTAGGATGTTTGGTTTATTTTATTTTGGTCTAATGAGGCTATTCAATGATATAATTATTTCATCCTCTAAATAAAAATTTTATTGTAAAAGAGCAAAACACCTGCCAGATAACATAATTATTGGCCCTAATTTCAATTAAATATGTCGGCAATCATTGTAATTTTCTTTGAAATGAAAAAGATTCTATCACTAATCTATAGTAATATTTTCCAAATGGCAAGCGAACAAATGAAACCATAAATTTAAATAGCGGAAAAATAAAAAGAGTTATTTATAAAATTACGATTACCATGGTTCCTACGGAATATGAATATAATAATGACACCTAAAAATGATGAGTAAAACCTGCCTTCTATCGGGTGTAACTAAACTGAGAGTTGACAGGCAAACTGAGAATAGACAGGTATAAATTTATTTATTGCCCATCAGTTATATTTTAAAAATATAAATAATGTATTTGTATTATGTAAATCAAATTTATTTTCAAAATTAAAATTATCTAAATATATAAAATAGAATATAGAAGAAATGACTTTTTCAATCATTACAATAATCTTAAAAGGGTGATAAATTTCATCAAAAACAATTATAACAAAGTTATCATCAACACGAGATTCAATTCCCCGCCATTTAAAAATCATAATAAGATAAAGATGAATAGCAATAGTCAACTAAAGGGTTATTTTCAAAGATTAGGCCAATTTGCCAATATTCAACCCAATCTCGGTGATTACCTCAAAGCTGCAAGTGACATTTAGCTCGAGTGTGGAATCATTTAAAGCTTGCAAAAGCTAGGAATCCATATTCGATAACTGCTATCAAAATTTTTGGCATGATCCATCCAAAGTAGAATCATCCGATAATGTTAATATGTTGAATTAGTCAGATCTAACGAATAAGATCTTGATGACCTACTAGTAACGTTAAAACGGATCCTGCCAAGGCATCAACTCCTTTAAGATAAAAGGGCAACGCCTTTTCTTCTAGCATCACCTCGTTTAATAGTTATATCAAAAGAAACAAACTTAACCAACAAACGATCCCGGTGCCTTAATATGCTATTGATAAGTGGACAGAAATTGATTTGGTATAAAAGAAGTGTATTAATCCCATTCTGTTACTCCCTCAGCATTGACATGATAAACGCCCAACTTTGGTGTTATACAAACGCATGCAGCGTCTACATGAGCGGGAGGGGTAGGAACAGTTTGCATCCTATTTTTTTGAGGGGGTAGGCTGCTTTAATGGGGGTATGATAAATTTTTTGGGGGGTTATCTATTAAATTTTGAGATCAAATAGGACAAAATTTATTGCTGTAAAAATTAATACTTTTATTATAGAATTATTATAATACAATTCATCGACCAAATCTATATATTGTAAACAATCATACACATTGTTTTCCACATAAAACTTTCTGCTATTCTTTGTAATGTAATTTAAAAGGTTTAGATATTTTAGCAAACTCATAATGCCATAATAATTAATTCATTGTTAATAATGGAGCTTTTAATTGAATTTATTATCTAAAAAATAAATTCTTTATATTCACAAAATATCGATAGTTGGTAGTAGAGATAGATTAATTTAAGTTATACTTTATTAATTCTCTAAAAAGTGTATCAAAAAATTAAAAAGGTGAAAATAATAATGGGGGGGGGGGGGGGTAGGCACAGGTTTTTGAAGGCGCTTTGCATACAGTGAAAATCCTGTCATGTAGACGCTGAACGCATGGATATAGCCCCAATTCTTTAGTCTTTCATATTTAAACGTATTAAAATTAAGAGGGCTCTGATAGTAAAAATGGACCTTTATCCCGCTTTATTTTTTGGTGCGGTTCAGGCAGGATGCTGGTATTAAGACCATGAAAAATATCGAGCATCTCAATAGGAAGCTATACAATTATTAAGGTTATTCTAATGGTATTAATATTAATCTCGCAACTGGTACTAATCTCTATATTATTTAATTATATGATAAACATTCAACCATGCTATGCTTGATTTCTTAGTTTCTGATATAAACTTTGAACAAGTAAATCATAAAGTATTTACAATTTTGTGATATAATAGATTTTAATTGCCAAAACGTAAAATGTTATGATAGAATCAATTTACGCCATTACTTAAAAACCTTTATTAATTTATATCTTGATTTTATTTTTGAAACTTTATTAAATATTTAAAACCTTATCCAAATTTAAATTAATAAATTTAAATCAATCTTTAAAACATTTATCAATTATTTAAAATAAATATAAATAAATAAAGCGATAACAAGAATAAACAGCAATTATAGATTAAAAAATTTTTCCTTATCGATAATATTATATTATTATCATAAAGAGTTATAGACAATTCATTGTAGATGGTTAAATTATTTATCACAAGATTTTATCCGAAAATTTAATGCAAAAAAAAAAATTTAAAAAATAACTGACTGATTAATAGAAATATGAGTATTTTATCTATTTCTAAACAGGGCAGTCCCTCTGTCTTATTATAATTAGGCACTGTCATAGCCGTAGCCAGGGGGAAGGACAAGCGGAAATCCCCCCCTTCAGAAATTTATCACTTTTTGTGAATATCATTTTAAGTTAATAAAAAATACACCCCTTAGTCCTCCCTTCATTCCCTGACCCCCCAAAATGTATTCATATATCTCAAACAATAATTTGAAAGAAAGAATGTAAAAGTTGATATTTTTTTAAACAAAACTATTCAACATAATTTATACATTTTTGGAAAAAAGCATTTATATATAAAAAAGTGAACTATAAATGTTTATGAGAAATGGAATATAAGCCAATGAAAAGTCTTAAGACAAAAGTGAGTATTATAATATAATATATCCATAAAATTACTTATTATATAAAATATATTTTTTTATAAAGTGACAGTGAGTAATTTTAATTTATTTATATTAATAAAAGTAAAATATAATTATAAAACTATTGATAAAATTAAATAAAAAATTAAATAAAAAAATTAAAACACAATACAAACAGTGGAATATTATATGTCGTAGATTTAGAGTATATTTAATTTTATCAATTATCGTAAGACAATCAAATAATTTATACCAATATAGCAAATTTTATATTTTACAGAAAACTATAAAATATTGATAAGGACATTAGAAAATATCTTTTAAAAACATTGTGGGATAAATAATATGAAGATTAATTTTTAATATCATTTTTTATTTAAATAAATAGATGGCGTTAAATAATTGAATAAAATTGTTGCTATATTTATTATCAAGCGCTTTGATTAGTAAAATTTGTAAAATATTAACTGTAATATATTGTCTAACTGTCAAATATGCCTGTAAAAGTGGGATTTTACCTAGTATTTTGTAACTAATTCTATATAATATAGGAATATCAAGTATATTTCTACTTACTTTTTATAAATTCTTATACTTGTTTGGAATAAATTATTACCATGCTTTTATATTAACGTATATACAAGTAATTTATTATATATTGTATAAACTAATAAAAATATATTTCATATTTGTTCCAGGTTAATATTTTTTATTAAAATAAACCTCCTATCTTGTAAAAATATGTTAAAGCTATATATAGACCAAAATAACCGGGCCGATGGCCCACCCAAAATGGGATCCCCCTTAGGAAAATCATGGCTACGCCTATGGGCACTGTTTTAACCACCTTTCACAGTTAGCCTAAATTTGGGTACAAATATACAAATTTGTGGAAAAAAGAACATACAGTATTTTTATTATTGATCTTATGAGAGAAAAAAAACCTAAGCATAGTAAGTAATGAATATACGAATTATTATACCTCCTTATAAACATTCTAAGGCATATGTGTCCATGCAATAATTGTATCATGATGTGAAATGCCTTATATTAAACCATGTTTCTTGCTGTTCTTATTCATTGAGCCTGGTAAAGCATGTTTCAAAATGCAATATAGTAACTATCGTTTTTTTTTATTTAATTCTTCAGCTTTTATTTTTTCATCCATCGGTTTATAGAGATAGATAGAAATGAAATGCCTTATGTAAATTCTTGTTATGCCTTATAAGAAGTCACGTAGTGATGTAACTCAATAAGGCTAATACTCGGAAATAGCTTTGAGGAGAGACAATCTTTAAATTATTACCTTAAACATTTATATTAGAGTTATCATTGAACATCTTATTTTCGTAAACATTTTTGGACTAATGAAGTGACTACGCTATGAAATCCTCCTTAGCGTTGATTGGTATGACTATATACTTGATTTGGTAAATTGCATTGCTAAAAACCAATTAATCATAATCAATCAAAATTTTATTATAAAATGATTTTATAAAAATAATTTTCAGAATTTTTCTAAATACACTTAAATAAATTTTTTATTAAATAAAAACTAAGATTATATATAATTGTATTTTTATTTAATATTAATGGAAAAAAAAATATATTTACTAGCTTATTACATCTCAAATTTTATTTTTCAATTTAAAAATTAAACAAATATATATCCATAGGATAGGAGAGCGTTAAATGCATAAATATGAAAATATCATTTTAGAAAAAAACAATGAATATTGGTTAGCGCTTTTTTTATATTTATACATGTGGAAAACCTAAGAATTAAAAAAAATAATAGGTTTCTTTGACATTTAATTTAAGAGTAAGTTTAAAATCTAAAAATAATAGAAAACTGTAAAGCACATATTGCTGACGTTATTGATCAAAATTTATTCATTTTTGTTTCCAATGCTTATATTTGCGTGTAATCCTAAAAAATCTTTTAAAATATTTTTATTTGTGCCAAGCTCAAAACCCACCACTTACTAAATATTTCATTTTTCCTTTATTATATATAATCATAAGTACGACATCTTAAAAATGATTGAATAGACTAACTTTTTATTATTTTTGATGAGATATAACAACGAAAAAATAAAATCTTTGTAAGTAATCGGTTTTGAGCTCGGCAATCGGTCCTATCATTATATTTTTAAAATTTTATGGGATAATGTTTTGCATGTAATTATAGAGATACAAAACAAAAATGAACATTTTCAATTGATATTATTAGCAAATTTGTTCAATCAAATATTTAGTAAGTGGTTTGGTTTTGTTAGGCAATCGGTTAAATCAAAATATTTTAATAAAATTATTTAAAGATAATGCTTAACACGTAAATATACGCATATAAAACAAAAATGACGTTTTCCATGAATAACGCAGTCAATGCAAAATTTAGTCATCGGGTCTGTTACGAGTCGGTTATCGGTCATATAACAATATTTTTAAAATATTTTTTGGGATAATTTTATACACGTATTTATAGATATAAATTTATTTATTTATATGCATAATCCTCCAAGAAATACAATGGAAGCATTGCATACTTTAAAATATATTTTAAAAGTTTT